TATATGTATATATGTATATGTATATATGTATATATGTATATATGTATATGTATATATATATATATACATACACATGAAACGTTATTGAAAATGTTATCCAGCATCAATTTTTTTTTGAGTATTGTATCAAACATAGAATTTGTTTAGTGACAACCCTATCTTACAAGAGTTAAAGGGCAATTATGTGCACGTGACGTGACAGACAGTGATAGGAAACCCGGATAAGATGTTTACAATTCCCATAACTGTACTTCAAGCGGCTTCCTCAAAACAGCATATCAACGTTTTTGAAACAAAGATGTTTAATTCAAAACTGCCAAAAATGCTATACCAGGTCTGACAATGTGAAAGTGAAGGACATACAGTGTGTACCAGATGGGAACAAGTGAATGACGTACCTTTGGTGGGTTGAAAGGATACGTTTCTGGGATTTTAATTTCAAGCTGAAATCTGCCACCTTAAGAGAAAAATGTTAGGCATGTCATTAGATTCTTATGCAAATATCTTGGCAGGTCATTGAAATACTTGTTTGTGACCATACCTTCATATGGTGTATCTGGAGGACCTGCTATCTCCCCCCTCAGCTCTGTGAAGTTTTCATCCACCAGTTCTACTCTTATCTGGTTTTTACTTGTCTGTGGGTTGAGATAAATGAGAGGGGCACAACCAGTTACCCTTGGTGTCACAGTCTTTTATGTCTTGACATGTCTCTGTCAAGTATTACACCATACGTTTACAAACAAACGTGAAGCTACATATGTGTTGGTTGGTAAAAACGGCACAATATCTGTAATTGTATACCAAAAACCATTGTTCAACGGTAGCCGTCTCGACATTTAAATACGTAAACAACACGGGTAGCTTGCTACAAGAACCAAGCTAGCAAAAGTTGACATAACAACAAACCCACAATAACAACATTTGTATGACACGAGCATGACAAAATAACCCCTTAAAAATGCCCGAAACACTAACCTATTGAGACCAAAGGTGACGAGTTGGTGAAGGTTGCATCATAGCACCACAGGCTAATGCTAACTGAATGAGATGTCAAAACAACAGTTCGTTAGCAAGCTAAAAGCTAACTACAAGTGTCACCAACTAAATCTTGTTAGGAAACACACACGGTAGCGTGTATGAGGCGTGTGTGTTTCCTCGTACAAGGGAGGTTTTTCCAGTATGGCAACGAACTAAAGGTGTGCAGTATTGTTTGCTAGAACACAGGGCCCCTCACTTGAAAGGCTGAATCCCCGGTGTTTCCTGAACACACCCACCTGACAGTGACATCGAGCTAAGGCTAGCTAAAGTTCTCCTGTTTAGGCCTGACCTGCTGCAACACACGACTGGGACCTGACGTTAGGTAATTTGAACCTCTTTCACACACTCCACGCACCTCACATGTTGGTTAAGTTGAAAACGTTATGAAAAAAATAGCTCAATCGAAGTATAAAGATATCCACAAACGTTACCGCACCTCTTCGCTTTTGAGAACTTCTTTGAACTCCCGCCTGATCCTCTGGACCGCGATGTTAGCCATGGCTGTGTCTGCTGAACTGCTGCTGCCTCAGACCCGGAGCTCTTTCTCCCTCCTGTGCTGACTGTCGGTGTGGGGACTGCCTTCTGCTCCGGTGTGGGGACTGCCTGCTCTGGTGCTTTCCACAGTTATGGAGTCCTTCTTTCACTTTCACCGTCTTCTAGCAGCGACTGCCAGCCAGCGCTTAGCGTCAGTCAGTCCAGAACACGCACTCACACAGTGCAGCTAAATGTAGTAGAAACTGGAAGTTTCATTAATGGTTCCAGCAGGTATATGCATGGGTTTATGTTATTTTTCAAACTTGCTATCAGGACATTTCTCATAATTTGCTGAACCCATCTGATTTCATTTATGGAATGTGACTAATTACATACCAAAGTATTATTATTCGTGTGCAATGTTTACTTATATAACTCGCTAATATTAATAATGTAACTTTACCTCCTAACTTGTCACCTTAAATATCCACTTAATCGTAGTGTCAACAGTTAAGGTATACATTTAATCCACTGCAAACAAAATGTTGATCACCACATAATAACAAATAAAGAACAATCTCCCTTTATTTGTGATGTTGCACTTTTAATGTATGTCGTTTTGACATGTAGATGTGTATTCAAGTTACATTCCAGCAGTGTAAGATGTTACACATTCGTACAGATGTTATATTGGAAAAATATAGAAAAGTAGCTGCAACACATATAATAAATTATGTACATACAATTAGAATGATAAACGAAAGTTACATACAAGTATAATTAAAAACAATACAAATTATATTACAAATGGTATTATTACTTTGTTGATGTTAATAACCTGACTGTTTTAAGTAGAGAATAAAGCTCTAAAGTGGTAGATTAGAAATTGTCTGTTTGTGAATTAAAAAAACTGCATTATTAGAGCGCAATCATGTACAGATGTTGGGGCCAGACTGTATAAAATAGGTTGGGGCCTTATATATATATATTGGGGCTCGATTCATCTGTCTCTGCGTAATGATAGGAAGACTGTTTGTTTACTTTCCAGTCGTTATAGACGTACCTTACTGTGATTTGCCGGACAACCTGTCCATCAAATGTCTAAACCAATAAGAGACGGTTAAATCGTTCCTTGTGTGTAACTCCCGGATATCTGTCGCTGGTTGGCTCACGTGTACCAAACAAATCACAGACGGTAGGTTGACATTTCTGCAGTCTGATGGTTTCTGTGCAGAACAACAGAGCAGACAGGCCCTTAAAAGACACCTAACGTCCTATCAACATCAATAAGGCGCAAGTAAGTTGTGTTTCGATGCCTTTTGCTGTCACATCTGTCTCTAAATTATATACTCATTTGTATTATTCGAGAAAAAAACAACGCTGTACGAGTCTTCTTTGCTGACTTGGTTAGCAATGAGCTAGTCTGATGTTAGCTAAATTAGTTCGAGAGCAATATTATATGATTGTCAATTTAAGCGTTGGTTAGTAAAAGGTGCCACTCTAGAAATATGCAAGCAGACAACCATGTCAAATACAACGTATTCTTTTTTTCATGTAATACAACTCGGTAACAAGTGAGATTGTTATTGAGTCGAAATGTAGCCATGCAAGTAAGTTAAAATAACGTGGTAATTGTTTGTTTTTGTTTTAAGATTTATATTTTCGCTTTATGTAGTCCAGCTGATTGACCGCTACTTCCTTGTACAATTCTAATGTTAGAAGTAGGCTATACTGAATAGATTGCAATACATACATGATGAAAACACAATGTCCCGATACACTGCAAAGAATGACACAAAAACTGGGCAAAGACGAGACCAAATCTCAATGAAATAAATACATGGACAGCATCATAATCCACTCACAAAATATCCAATAATATATCGTGAACAAAATGTCCAAAGATATTTATATTCTCTGTTCTTTATGTAAACTTTTTAAGGTGGTCAAATTAAAGTGCCATCGCTGCACAGCAAACATGTGATCGCCTACAGCGTTCAGATAACTTTTGACTGGCTACATAAACAATGGTGACAGCCCTCACGTTAAGCAAACACCTACTTAACATGCACCGCAATAAAACTGTCTGTTGACTGTACTAAACTGAGCAGTCTCCTCCCTCTAACCTGTGTGTGCACAACACTGACTAGAGGGAGCATTAGACATCTCTCACTTGCTCATGAACATCTGAGTTAAAAACAGTTCTTTCATTTTGTTTTAGGGTGGACAACATCTGGTGAGAAATGGCAGAGGGAGGCTTTGACCCTTGTGAGTGCATCTGCACCCACGAGCACGCGATGAGGCGACTCATCAACCTGGTAAGTCATGAGTGTCCTTCTCTGTCACTTGAAATCTTACGAGGCAGACTCATTACAGAGTGAAGGTAAAGTGACAGGTATTCCAAGTATGCAGTAAGTAAAAATATCTTCTGTTGGAGTGGAGAGAAGGCAGCAAAGACAGTCAGGCATGAAGGAACTAGCAAGAAAAAGAAGAAGGAAATGAAAAGCTGCCGACTGACATTGAGCCACATATCCTGGTTCCTGCTCAATATTTACCTTTTGATGCTATCAGTTACAGAGAAATTAAACTCTGACATACTTTGTGTTGCCACATATGCATTTTGCTTGTTAATACCCCCAGCACTTTTTAAATGGAAAGTATATTGAAGTAGATTAGGTTGAAGTTATTTAGAGAACGTACTTTAAAGGAGGAGTACAGATTGTGATCATGTTGTGTCAGTTTTCAAGTGACCTCATTGGCTCTTTTGTGCACAGGTGTAACTTGCATGGCAAGCTGCAGTTGGCTTAGAGCTTGAAACAACCCTAGGGGTTTCTGATTTGCTTGCAGCAGGAAAGGGTGTTGTCCAAATAACCAAATCATGTACACAGTATTTGCCAGTCAGTACTATACAATGTTTCTTGGGAAGGAAGCAGAACTCAGATGTTAGTTTTTTCGCACCTTCCACATGTGATTATGTGCTGTTGTTAAAAGTAGGTTTTGACTTGGTTATTTACTTACACAATAGGTGTCATCTGATCTCAGAATGAACTCCTGTGGATTAGACTATTTGTTATCAGCGGCGTCTTAAGTCAACATTTGTTTTCCCTCTTCCTAGAAGAGAGAGCAATGGTAAGCAGAGAAAATGAAGCCCCTCTCTCCATGAAAAAAAACAAAACAATTTGCACACCCAGATGTTGTCTTTTAATTGGAAAGGTTACAACCTGCATTAATTTCTAGGACAAATGTCTCTGCAGTTGTCATTTTATTTAACAACTCCAGCTCCTATCCTACTGAACACGACCGATGGGTGGACAAACACACATTTTCTCACCATTTACGCCACAATGCTATGTAATGTGCATTGAGGTTATTTTCTGCCAAATAAGATCAACAGGGATATGGACAAATAAAAAACGTATATTTATGCTCTACTTGAAAGCCACCCAACTTCAATCAGACAACAGTAATTTTACCTCTCATCATTTAAAAAGCACAAGCAAACCAATACTTATCAAAGTAGTCTTTCCTCTGTTCCAACAATCACTAACTCTTGTTTGAGAGTTTGAAGGAGAGACTGATAAGTAGCAGGTATAAAAAGGAAGTAACAATGCTGCTTCCTAGTGTTTACAAACCTGCATCAATGTTGGTCTGTACATGCTTGATGTTAAATCTGCCACATAGAAGAAGAAAGAAACAGAAAGGCATACTTGTCAACTTGAGAGGAGTTTATAAATGTGCTGAGTTAGGTGGAAAATGAGCAAGACATCTTCTCTTGTGTTAAGTCCTCTTTGTTCTTTCTGTAATTTCCCTTTCAGCTCAGGCAATCTCAGTCCTACTGCACAGACACAGACTGCCCTCAGGAACGTACGTACAACCACATTAAACCCATTTGTTTAGTTTTTTTTAAAAGTGTCTTGTGTAATTGTTTTGATTCGGAAACATGAGTGTAGTTAATAACATATGTTACAATGCAAATTATTATTATTATTATTTTTTTTTTCAGTCCCAGCTCCCGGTGGGTCGGTGGGCGGAGGAGGGGAGCTGACCCTGCCCCTGGTTCTGATGGGATGGGCGGTGGTTGCTCTGCTCCTTTTCCTGTTGCGGCCTTCCAGTCTCAGGCGTTCCCGTCCCACAGGCAAAGCCTCCGGACCCCACAATGTCAGTATTGATCACACAACCAAACATATGATTAATAAACATATATATACGTTCAGTACTGCTCTGCCTTCAAATGATAATGAATCAAAAAAGAATTGCACTTACTTACTTAAAGAGACACAATTTGCCGGTATGAGGATATAGGTGCTATATATAATATTCCGAACATTTAATATAGCATTAAACAACTACTTGCCATGTAAGGATATAGTGGAGTAATGACTACATGAGCAGTTTCAACTTCTCAATGATAATAATATTACATGTCAAAATGTTTCTGATAAAAAAAGGCCTTAGAAAGTGAATGTTAAATGTCAATATTTTCTGGCTCGTTTTATTTAATATGAGCTAGTAAGTTCTGTTTTGTGGTAGTTAAGTTACAGAAAACAACATTCTAAAAAAATAGAGAAAGCATTCACATATTGTTATGATTCAGTTGTTTGGTCAATATTTGTAAAGATAAGCAATTATCTATCTTAGTGAAAAGGTGACATTGTACAGTATAGCAATACAGTTAAAATGAGTAATATTATCACAGTATTTGTTTCATAGTTTGCTACTTGATATCATCATCAAAACTGTGTGTTTTCCATTGAAAATACTTAGAATTTTCTTGTCTTGCAGAGCGATAGAAGAGAGCCGCCAGCACCACCTGTTGACTAACAGTGGAGAGTACAGCCCCCCCCAGCAGCTCTGACGGAGCTGCACAGCTAGCAAGGGACCGTGACCAGGACAGTGCCCCCTCCCCTTTTTATTTAAATATCTTTTGCTTTTCTACAATTGTAAAGCCGTTACATTTTGGGGTGGATCTGTCTATGATTCATGTAACTAGAGCCCAACTGATACGCAATTGATGACTCCAATACAGTTATAATATTTCCAATTGATCTAAGATCTAAAAATGTATACCTTTGGTGTACACGGTGTAGATAAAGGCAGGTATTACAATTTTGACCTATAATATTGACCGACAATATCAGAATGTTGATATAACCATTGGGCTCTGTGTTATTTACCTCAAGTCTTTAATCAGAAGTTGAGGCTTTGTTCTAGGTTCCTGATCTCAGCTCTGATGCTGACTGATCTGCAGTTGCATGAACTCTAA